TAAAATTTTATAATTATAAAACTTTAATTTTTTTAATTTTAAATTTACATAGGTAATGATAAAAAATACATAGCATTTGAGTCTTTGTAGGCAAGCATGAACTTTCTCTGTCAAACGACGTTTCTCTTCCAGTTTTCTATTCTCTTTCCTCCTTTTCATGTGTTATAATTTTTAATTGGTGAGACTTAGAGACTCTCATTGTTAGAGCATCCACAATGATGGATTCCATTGTGGAGTTTTTAAAGAGTATTTTAATTTTTTTTTTAATTGAATAGTTAAGAACTCTTAGCAAAATAAACAGTTTAATGATGGATTCTTTCAAGGAATTCTTAGGAAAAAAAAAGATTCTACTAATGTGTCTACTTCAAGTAGAAGCTTCTCTTTCCAAGTACAAGCTGATATTTGATCCATCACATGCTGAAAAGGACATGCTCCTACGTCGAAAACCCTTACTTGTATCCCAATCTTCTCATCAGCATGTGATAAGTAAGCTTCGTAGTACCTAGTGACCAAGCCCCATACTTGGTTAGTTGGGTGGAAAAGATATCTACCCAAGTGATGAAACACTGTGGTTTCTCCGGGAACATCTTGTCTAACTCCTCATCGAAACCAGGGATTAGCCATAGAGATGGAACAAAGTAGTTGTCTGTCTTAACAACCAACCAAGGGACTTTCCCTATAAATGTTTGGTATCCTTGGCAAAATAACATCTTATCATGATCACTATAGTCATGAACAAGATGAAGATAAAGATGAGACAAACTCTTCTCGTTATCAATCACATTATTCTTAAGCATATGTCTGTAGCAATGAGAGGACTCTTGATTCAACCCATCAAACTGATCCCTTATGGGGAAATCTAAAGGTAGTAACCAGGACATATCAGGAAACGGCTCGCAGAAGAGATCAGCCATGTCTAGCTACAAGCAAGACTCTATCAGTCAAAAGCGCATAGAGAAAACTGAAGCTAGAGAGAGTATCATGTTGCCTAACCCGCTGAAAGAAACCCAAACAACGTATTTGCATTCACTGTTGTTACCATCAATGTGGTCTTGCAAGTAGTCCTCCAAGAAGTCTATCGGAATCATTTGAATCTACAAAACAATTGAGAATCAGACAGCTTAAGCTAAAGACCAAACAGAAGGACACTTCTTCACCAAAAACAACATTAGACAGTCTTGGAGAAATTAAACCAATAAAGACTGTTTTTTAATAGAAAGATTCAAACTTCAGATCAATAAAGAAACTAAACCAATAAAGACTCTATCTTTTTATAGAAAGATTCAAACTTTAGATTAAATGAATCTCCAGTGAACTATATGTTACAGAAATTAAACTAAAAAGACTCTATTTTTTCTAGAAAGATTCAAACTTTGGATCTTTTGATACAGAATTATGCAATAAAGATCTAAACTTTGACTAACACAAACAGTAAGAATCTGTACCGGTGGTAGTAGTAACACTGGAGTAATCTCTGCCACCGAGAACTCCTGCCTCGGCGATACCCATTGACTAATTTGGATCAGATGGGTGGTGATGGAAAATCATTGAGAATGGTAGTAGGACAGAGAATAGTATCAAGCAAGTTGTGAAGGTTTTGGCGAGCTTCATCGTACCAAAGAGTAGGAACTTCATCGGAAGTAGTTGGGCGGGATTTGAACCGCCGGAGGTGGTGGTGGTGATCGGAGAAGGTTTCTTCCTGCAAGTATTCTGATCCATAGATTGGTCTTGGCGAAAAAGATGGATGGAGAAGACAATGATTTTTGAGAACAACGTTTAAGAGAGGAGGAGGAAGAGGAATGACAAATCTGTCACTAAGGAGTGAATCCTTAGAGCACCCGCAACAATGGTCTTTAGGGAAAATCATTAGGGAAAAAGAAAAATTGGCATTTCGGATTATATAAGGATATTTCAGATTTTTTCTTTAAAAAAAAACTGACCATTCACGGGCCGCCACGTGGACAGTGGAGCCCGCGAATAGTGTAAGGATCAATCCTTAAATAAGGATTTTAAAGATAGAATCTTTTAACTGTTCATGGGACCTACTGATTATAAAATTAATATTTCCCTAGGGATTCCCCCTAAGGATCCGTGGTTGCGGGTGCTCTTAAAGCATGATTATCCACAGAAACTCATTTGTGTTTCTTAAGGATTATCTAAGTATATAAATGTACTTTAGTGGACTTAAGAATTCTACCTAAGAAACTATTCGATTTTGTGCCTCCAATGGTGATTTCTTAATTAAGAATTCTTGAAAATAATCCTAACCACAACCTAACTCAAACAAGCATATTCAAACTAAGCAAACAATCCTAACATTTTTGACATGAATCTATATATCTATTACCAAGCAAACAATCCTAACCACAACTTAACTCAAACGCGTTTTCAAGATCTTTCTAAGTCAATCTTGTGAGATACCATACCGCACAGGTTCTTGTTTCTGGTGGTGTAACTTCAAGAACATGCTTAAGAAGGAAATCTTCATCAAGGGAACGAGTTCTCGTTTTCGTTGGAGTCTCTGGCTTATGTCCTCTCTTTACCAAGTGACTAACTTTGCAGCATACTAACCATTAGACGTATAGCTTTGCATTCATGGCGATGCAACACGATCAGTTTCGTCAACAAGAATGCATCTGAAAAAAAGACAAAGAAAAAAAGAATCCTTCTATCAAGGTGGAGCGATTGTATAGACTCTTGTACTGCATCAAGAAACTTAAAACTTGGAAGAAACACTTCTATCAAAGCAAAAACGGAATCAATCAATCATCATCATAATAATAAAATTAAGCAAACAATGTATACATTCAAAGAATTCATTAGCGACCAAACACCTGACTATGATTCACCCAACACTGTCACATCTTTCATATAAGACACTAAAGCATTCTTATTATTACATGGACGACATATGTTCTTGAAACATAGCTAATCTACAAACTCCAATTCCCAGAAACAAAGTTCATCACTTTATTCTTTCTATTGTGTTTCTCAGCAACCTAACAACGGAGACAAACCGATTTGAAACAAAAATATACAACTTTAGCAAAACCCTCGAAACAAAATCGAAATAAAGAGAGTCAGAGACTGACTTACTCGTCCTCAAACATGAGACGTCTCTGAGCAGCATCCATTCCAGCATCTTTAGCTTATGTCATTCTGGACAAAGCTCGAAACGTTCTCAGTAAAATGGGAACAAAAACGGATCGGAGAGATGACAGAAGAAGATGATAGAGAGATCTGAGGTGAATCAAGGGGAAATCGTCCAAATATCAACAAAGACGAACGGTAAGGAGAGGGAGAAGAAGTGGAGGGGTGAGTCTGATCTTCCAAATATCTACAAACTCTGGTCAGATTGTCCGTAAGACTCTCTATTTTCTCGTTTAAATATCTGAGAGGATAAACTGCGTGACGTTTTTTTATTTGTTAGACAAACTACTTGTCGTTTTAAATAAAATTGTATGCTGTTTTTTGAAGTTTAAATGGCAAAGTGTTGAGCTTCATTTGGCCCAAAAAGATAACTTCTTATCGGGCCAAGGGCCCTCCAATCAAACCAAGCCCAAGCCCAAGCCCAAGCCCAGGCCCAAGCCCAAGCCCACGCCCACGCCCACGCCCACGCCCGGACGGCGGCGGCGGCGGCGCGTGCGTGGAGCACCTCCTCTCTCACTGAGCTGTTTACACACTCATATCCTGAGTACATATATATATTGCTCAGTTTTTCCCATCATAGTCGATGTGGGAGAAACCACTTACTCATTTCATTACACAAACAGGCCTCTTGAATGGGCTATTTCTTTTCACAATTTTCCAATTAGATATGAAGCCCAAATGGCTTTATTAATTGATCCAACAGACGAAGAAGTCTCCACAAAGAGAAAAGAAAGAGAAAAGAAAAAAGAAAAAAGAAAAAGATTTGCTTACACAATGACGCGTGTACTTTCTCTAAGTTAAGGATCGGTAATAGAATTACAGATTAATGATCGGTAACTACATTTTCTTTTAGTTTTGATTTAATTTAATGATGTAGTTTTTGTAAAACCCACTTTAGAAACCGCAATATTAATGCTCTCATATTTTTTAAATAAGGATTGATTCTTAGTAAATTTTCTTTTTTTAATAATTTTTGAACTGAAATCACCTAGGTTTAAGTGCTAAGGATCTGTGTTTCTTTGCTGTTGTGGATGGTCTTAGTGCTCTTGCCAATGAGAATACTCGAAGATTTCTCTAAGAAATTTTTTTAAAAGAAAAATCTGAAATGATATTTGTAAAAGCCATGAAAACTACTGACACATTTGGATATATATTATTAGGTTATATAGTGTTTTAATTTTAAATTTAAATACATAATTACACTATATTAAAAGTATTCTTATTATATTAGTAAAAAATATATTGTTTTTTTTACCAAAAAAAAACTCAATATTGTTATCCTAAAAGTTTATATCATTGACCAATAAAATTTTTTTTAAAGGACTGAGTGGTTGACAAAACACAACAGATTGGGTAAATATATTAAAAACTTCAAAATATATTTCTAATTCTTTCATATACTCTGATTTGTAATCATTTATGGAAACTTGTAATCATTTATGGACGAACAAATCATTTTTTGGGTACTTAACATACACTCCATCCCTTCCACTTTATTGGAAGTCTTAGAGAAAAAATTTGTTTTAACATAACTGTAGTTTTATAATTTTAATATAATATTTATTAGTTGTATTTATTCTTTTATTTTTTATTGGTTAAAATATGGTTATATGTATAGGTAATTTTATTTTTATTTTGCAAAATTAAATGATTTCTTAATATTGTATGTGTGCACAAACTTAAAATGACAATTAAAATGAAACCGAATGAGTTATAACTAACCAAATAAGAAAAAAAAATGGTAAAACCATTCCGGTTTTACTGTACCAAATCGTAACCGGTTAATCCTCCAGAATAGATAAAATGGTAAGGAGCAATTCCACTTCACCCATCATCCATATTTGCAAAAGATGAGGCTTCTCTCTTCTTCTGCCTCTGCTAGCAGCTGCAACCTATTTTGTTCCTCCCACAAGGTTCCCTCTCTTTCGTTTTATATCGTTAACTCTGTAGTCTTTAAGTTTCGATATGTATGGGTTTCATAACACAACGCCGACATTATATTTCATATGTCCTGCTGTTTGAAAGGCCAATGCAAGAGAAAGCGAAGGGAAGTTTCAAGTTCCCGTAAAGGACAAAGATTTTGAGTTTCAAATCAAGAAGTTTGCTCCACCGCTCACGGCTGTTCTTCTTGCGGTTTCACCCATCTGTAACCCTCCAGGTAACCCTCGCAGAGAAGTTCAGAGCAGCTGCATCAGTCTATGCTTCTGAAACTGAATTCTGATTTGGTGAAAAAAACATGTCTGATTTTCTGGTTCTCCAAGTTTCAAGAATGTCTTGTTGCCTGCAATGGTGATTTCTTGGTTGGTGATGTAGAATCTCTTGGCCAAACCTTGGATATACAAAGAGGAGCAACACTGTTTAATAGAGCTTGTATTGGGTGTCATGATACAGGCGGAAACATTATTCAACCAGTGAGTTCTTAAACACAGTCATGAACTATTATTTTTTCTCTTCTAGTCAATAAAGCTCACACCCTTTTCTTTCCAGGGCGCAACGCTTTTCCCAAATGACCTCCAAAGGTAAAAAAACGCTCCAAGAGATGTCTTGTCTGCATCTACCAGATTCTGACAGGAATATTCGGTTAGAAAGATCTTTTTCTATATTGATTTGCTATGGTTTTTACCCTTTATACAGAAATGGAGTTGATACTGAGGAAGAGATATTTAGTGTTACCTACTACGGAAAGGGAAGAATGCCGGTAAGATCTTCTTTCCACTTAGCTAAATGATCTGAAGACAACTGTGTCTTATGATTTACTTACAGGGATTTGGGGAGAAATGCACTCCGAGAGGACAGTGTACCTTTGGTCCTCGGTTGCAGGACGAAGAAATCAAGCTTCTGTCTGAGTTTGTAAAGCTCCAGGCTGAACAAGGTTGGCCAAACGTATCTACCGAGTAGCAACAAGATTAGTACAGTTTAATCTAGTAAGAACATGCAGCATTACATTGTATGTACCTTTAATGTCTAAGATTCAATGTATGTTAAATAATATAACAATATTCGTGAGAATTGGGAGAGCTTCACTGCAAACAAATGCGTATGCTCCAAGATGTTCCTTGAGGTACCACAAAACCAATACATATATGTTCATAACTTTTTGCCCACTCTTGGCATTACAAAAATTATATTCCGAATATCTTTCCTCTGGAGAAAAAAATTAATGGAAAAGAATGGTGATGTTACTGTTGAATCCTATGGTATGTTGTGTAGTGAAACTGCGAAAGCAAGCATAGCCTTCTTTTTTTTCTGAATGAATGTTAAATTTTAATCATCAAAAAGCCTTTTTATAACCAAAAGTAGACAGTTTTCGAAAAGACTACAGCACCTTATACTACTCCACTAGTAATAATCTATTTAAGAGACTAATTACACTAGTTTCAAACCAAAACTAGTTGCAAGCATAGCCTTCACTCCTTTCATGGTTCTTGATAATCATCCCTGTGACACTCTGCTTTATTTTCTTTGCACCTGATTCACCTAACTGCAACAAAAAGCCAATCTCATCACCCAAGCTGCTAGTCTTAAGCAAAGACAGGTTCTTGTATTCGAGGTTCTCTGGTCCATTAGTTTTCTGATGGAATGGGGTTGGTGCTTGAACTTGGAATAAATTGAAGTTCCTCGATCACGGCAGCTGATTCCAACACGTCTTCTATTTGGAACTCTGGATCAATGTTCAAGTTGTCTTCTTCTCTAAGAACTTGCTGGACATTCAAGTTAATAGGCTCAAATTTCTCACCCGTTTTACACCTAGAAGGCTTGTACACACTGGGAGATGATTCCACGACAGTGGAATCAATTGCAGCACATATTACTAAAAGTAATGAAAGAAAAACTTGAAGAGATCACAGACCTTGAAGACCTTCGCTGGAAGTGATGAGATGAAGCTCAGAAAGGTTAAGAACTCTTCCAAGACCAACTCCACTTGTCCAATTCTCAGGACACGGTTTATCTGCCAACTTTAACCACTCTTCTTCCTATTAGACTGCCAACTGGAGAATGTAATCAGTAGCAGGGTTGTTTCCAATCCCTTTGACTGTAGTGGTTACATTGTTCATATATAAGGCTCCAGTGAACGGAATAACGGCTCCATCAGCTCGAACAAATGTTTCTACAAAAAAAGACATCGATACTAAGAATGTGCTAGGCCATGATCACTATTAACAGCAACGACAAAGTCACAACACTTTGTATACCTGGGTTAGTTCCAGCGAAAATGCCATACCAAAGGTCATCAGTAACGAATGAAGATTCTCTTTCCACTACATCATAGAGTGTAGAAGGTGGCTAATAAGGCAATCAGCATGATCTTGCTTAAGTCTATCAATTGATTTAGGTAATCAACCATCAAGAAAACGGCCAAGAGATCATTGCATTATGGACTTCCAATACACACACGCAAGTATTATTGTCTTTAAAACTAATCTTGAAACATACAAATCAATTTGCAAAATTCAGACATAACATGATTTGCAACACACACACACACACAAGTATTATTGACTTTAAAATTGAAATACAAAGACATGTTTCTTTGAACGCTGTTTTTTAGGCTATGTGATAAACACTGATCTTTGATTTTTGGTCTTTTCACGAGGAGAATCTGTCACGGTTATGAGGCGAAGAGTAATCGATGTTTGGTCCATGAGGGATGATCCCAAACGGGTTTAATGTAGGGTGGCTTCCGTAGTAATGTTGCTTGATGTGATCCATTTTCACTGTACTACTCATTCCATTGATTTGGTATACATCTTTTATGTAGTTGAAGATATTCGTATATTCTCTTAATAGTCTCTTGTTGCATTTGAAGTGAACTGCGTAAACCTGCAACGCAATAAAAAGGATAACATCAAGAAGCTAATGGGGTTTATGTGATGAAAAAAAAAAAAGCATAGAAGAAGATTCAAAATACCTCATCAAATCTTATAAGAGTGACGAATAGTCGAACATCTACTTCAGTGAAATTGTTTCCACAGATGTATCTTTGTTTTCCGAGTATTGCCTCACATCTATCTACTGCTTCAAACACTTGGTTCACTGCCTGAAGAAAAAGGACCAACATATATTAGTTACTATGTTTCTTTTTCTACTTATATAAATCATTACAGATCTTGTACCTCATCGTATGGTTCTTGTTTCCTAGCAAACCCACATCTATAAACACCATTATTTATCCCATTGAAAACCCATTCATTAGTCTCGTCAATTGCATCTCTAAGATGAGAAGGATAAAGATCCAGTGAGGGGTTTTTCGCAACACTGTTGAACTCAGTGTTGAGCATCCTGATTATCTCCGAACTCTCGTTGTTAACCAAAGTCTTGAGCTTCTTATCCCACAGAATCTGAGATAATAAAAAAAAACAGACACTTTGAAAATTTCAAGAAACATGACAAGAGAGAATGTAACCATTAACCAAGAGGTGATAAAAAAACTTACAGGAACAGTGTACTTGCCAACATAGTTGGGACTAGCAATCTCATAGAGTTCTCTCACAGTCTTGGCACCATTAATATAATCAGGCTCAGCTCCAGGGAGCTCAGTGTCGGAATCTGGGAAAACCCATCCTCTATGATCATCAGTTTCTTTAGTTCTTCCCCAAATTGTGTGACACGACTAATCAAAACCAAATGCTTTCAGGTAAACAGTTCAATAACAAAGAGCATGATGATTAGGACTGAGTACTGACCGAGAAGGTGATAGCTTCTTCAAGACCTTTGAGCATCAAGAAAGAGAGACATCTACAAGCCCATGGACAAGCATATGAAATGTAAAGATGGTATCTTCCGGATTCAGGTGCGAACTGAGAAGCAGGATCTTGTGAAACAAAGCTTCGGAATGTTGATGCTGTTCTTACAAACGCTCCAGTTTCTGATGTCTCATCAACCCCTGACCTAGCCATTATCTATATGCTAACACAAATCAAAACATGGTTCCTTTTTTAAGTTCAAATCAAACGCTAAATACAATCAAAAGATGATACGTTCTAACGAGATCGTGATTTAAGAAGAAATGAAGATCGGAGAGTTTGAGAATAGCTGAGGGTGTGCGTTTAGAGGCCAAGATCCACCAAAGATAGAAAGCAGATGTAGTTGTTTGTGTTTTTTTTTTTATAGTGGAGGAGACATAGCGAGCTAGGACGAAGAAAAAGACTTTGCCTTTTTGTCAGTCATTCGTCATTGCTTTTGTCACACTCCCAAACGAGTTGTTGACTCAGCTTATTTTGTCATGCGTCCCGAGTTAACTCAGTTGTAGACTTTTGCAGGAGGTGGAATACTTCTCTCGATAAGGCCCACCGAATAATAGGCCCAGCGTACACGAACTTCGGTCCAGCGAGATAACACTTCGCTGATTAACGACTAATCAGACTTAACTCGGATAGCCCTCGCGATTATCCGAGTTAAGGACGCTTAGGCGAGGTGCTTATTCTAGGAGACCGACCAAGGCCCATTTAGCGAGAGGCCCTCCGTACACGCGACCAGCTCGCTAGGTCAAGGAAGTGCCACAATAAAAGAAGAAGAGAAGGCAACAAGAGGGGGATCCGAAATGACTTCCACACACAAGGCGACTATAACTAGAGTTTTCACTCTCATATTTTCTTCCGACATGGTTGAGCTCTCCGAGCTACGCCGTCTTAACTCTTATCTCCTTATTTGCGCCCTGAACTCTTTAATCCATAATACTACTCTTTTGCCACCTATAGCATAACCGCCTTTGTCATAACCCACCGACGAGTTCCGTCACCCTTCTTGATACGCCCTAAATCGAGAAAGGATCACTCAACTGGACTTTGGATATGATCTCAGACGAATCGAATGAGAAATGATGGATGAACGACGACACAAAGGGTTGTGGAAGGCCCAATGATACTGCCAAGGGTGCCTGAATGTCGCCTGATATGACTCACAGGTCCGACAAGAAGCAAACTCGATCTGTTGCCGGATGTGATGCACCGGTCCAACGAGAAAGAGATGTGTAACTTGGAGCTAACCACACCAAGAAACGAAATAAGATCAATGGATATTACACACCATTGAAAAAAGTGAGAATCCCTCTCAAGGTTCCAAAAATAATCACTCAAAGCTTATTTTATTTCATTGATCAAATGGCCTTTATATAATAGGCAAAACATACAAAAGGTTGGAATACAAAAGATTAGTCAAACATAGAAAATAGCAACTTATAAAAACAAGGAAGACTTGACTAAAGACTTTGATTTGACCAAAATGATGACTTGACCGAAGTTGGACGGTTTGGAACGAATGACTCTTCAGCTGGCCTCGTGCTTCCGCATGGTCGACGTTCTTTGAATTGCTGTCAGATTGATATATTATTCGACCATAGCTCGTATTTTCTTGTTGGGCCTTTCTTTCTTTGGGCTGAATCATGTCCATTAACATATTTCTTAAATCGTCAAGCCCATCTCGTTCAAAACTCAAACCCATAAGCCAAATCTTCTTGATTTGTTCTTGCTGCTAATTCCGGGCGCATCATTCCCTACTCTTTTAAAAAGATTTACCCTCAAATCTGTCTTTCTTTAGTTTCAGATGTGATGATCTCTTGGCTTTTCATAGAGCTCTCTTTTTTTATATATATATATATAGAAAAGAAAGGTAAAAGATGGATGAAGAAGATGAAAAGATAAAAAAATGAACAGACAAGTACCGGGTGAGTGGCTCTGATACCAAATGATACTCCCTAAATCGGGAAAGGATCACTCAACCGGAATTTGGATATGATCTCAGATGAATCGAATGAGAAAGGATGGATGAACGACGACACAAAGGGTTGCGGAAGGTCCAATGATACTGCCAAGGGTGCCTGAATGTCACCTGATATGACTCACAGGTCCGACAAGAAGTAAACTCGATCTGTTGCCGGATGTGACGCACTGGTCCAATGAGAAAGAGATGTGTAACTTGGAGCTAACCACACCAAGAAACGAAATAGATCAATGGATATTACACACCATTGAAAAAAAGTGAGAATCCCTCTCAAGGTTCCAAAAATAATCACTCAAAGCTTATTTTATTTCATTGATCAAATGGCCTTTATATAATAGGCAAAGCATACAAAAGGTTGGAATACAAAAGGTTGGAATACAAAAGATTAGTCAAACATAGAAAATAACAACTTATAAAAACAAGGAAGACTTGACTAAAGTTTGACCAAAATGATGACTTGACCGAAGTTGGACGGTTTGGAACGAATGACTCTTCAGCTGGTCTCGTGCTTCCGCATGGTCGAAGTTCTTTTGAATTGCCGTCAGACTGATATATTATTCGACCATATCTCGTATTTTCTTGTTGGGCATTTCTTTTTTTGGGCTGAATCATGTCCATCAACATATTTCTTAAATCGTCAAGCCCATCTTGTTTAAAACTCAAACCTATAAGCCAAATTTTCTTGATTTGTTTCTGCTGCTAAATCGGGGCGCATCATTCCCTCCTCCTTTAAAAAGATTTACCCTCAAATATGTCTTTCTTTAGTTTCAGATGTGATGATCTCTTGGCTTTCCATAGAGCTCTCTTTTTTTTTTATATATATATATAAAAAAGAAAGGTAGAAGATGGATGAAGAAGATGAAAAGATAAAAAAAAAAATGAACAAACAAGTACCGGGTGAGTGGCTCTGATACCAAATGATACGCCCTAAATCGGGTAAGGGTCACTCAACCGGACTTTGGATATGATCTCAGACGAATCGAATGAGAAATGATGGATGAACGACGACACAAAGGGTTGCGGAAGGTCCAATGATACTGCCAAGGGTGCCTGAATGTCGCCTGATATGACTCACAAGTCCGACAAGAAGCAAACTCGATCTGTTGCCGGATGTGACGCACCGGTCCAACGAGAAAGAGATGTGTAACTTGGAGCTAACCACACCAAGAAACGAAATAAGATCAATGGATATTACACACCATTGAAAAAAGTAAGAATCCCTCTCAAGGTTCCAAAAATAAATCACTCAAAGCTTATTTTATTTCATTGATCAAATGGCCTTTATATAATAGGCAAAACATACAAAAGGTTGGAATACAAAAGATTAGTCAAACATAGAAAATAACAACTTATAAAAACAAGGAAGACTTGACTAAAGACTTTGATTTGACCAAAATGATGACTTGACCGAAGTTGGACGGTTTGGAACGGGGCGCATCACTTCCCACTGATAACAGACCGTACTCGTTTTGAACAGTTGGCGCCCACCGTGGGGCATAGCAAAGTAGTGTCA